TTTTACAAAAAGCCACAATAAGAAACAAAGGAACATAAACCTAAAATGCCATCCGTAGTCGACACTCTCGTATGAGATCTCATGAAAATAAGAAATCCAACAGGACTCTCGTGATGGTCCTGTTTTGCAGTCTGACTTTTTAATTTTTCACAATTTGAGTTTGGTAATCTTGCAAATTCTCGTATGGGTCCCTTTTTCTTTTACATTTAATTTATAAGAATCCCTTAAACTCGAAAAGATTCGAACAATCATACCGAGTGGACCATATAAGAATATTGGCTTTTCATTAGAAAGTGGTGTTGTTTTAAACACATTCACTGTTGTAGACATTGTTAGAGCACATAAACAAGTCCAAAGTTGTAATTTGATGAAATGGTTATATATTTGAAACAAGTAATAGCAGCGACGTAGCCAGTCATGGGCTCACTCCCTGGAGTTTTATTTCCTTTAAGGTTTGATTTTTTTTGTTTTTAGTTAGAATAGAAAGTGAAGCAGCAGAAGAAAAAAACATTTTTCTTATTCGTTCTGTATTTTCTAGTGTGTACTGATAGTCATAATAGATCGATTCCTTCTTATCTGTGTGTTAAGCAAAAAAATGTTCTGTCTCACCATAATGGACTAGCTTTTAGCATGCGATTTAGGCATGTATTTCTCTTATTCTTAACTCGTAGAAAAAATTGGAATAAGAGGAATCGCAAACAAAATATTTTTCGTTAAAAGATGAAAGTCTCAGCACTTCAAACTGTAGATATGAGGTAATTTTTTTCGATTCCTGTCTGTTTATTTATCTAACGTACTTAGATACATAGTGAATGCACTTGGCGATATGTATCCGAGTACTTACATTTTTCTTAGGTATATATACGTGTACCGTGCTACAAGAATGTCATAGGTGCGTGAATATTTTTCAGATAAATATCACTTGAGAGGTACTCAATGACTTGCGCTGGACAGGTAAGGTGCCGGAAATGCAAAAAGTCAGCAAAATTTATTTTTCATTTTTTTTGACATGGTTGGATGGAATTCATCCGACTAGTTAAGAAAATATCATTTTAAAATTTTTCAACATAACTTTGTCTGTTAAAAAATCGAATTACTAATTCAGGTACAATCAATTGAAAATTGGTACTTTTCTTAAAAATCGTTCGATTTTTTCCACTTTACCTTTTATTTGTGTGGTATTTTTTTCTACTTCTCCATCAAAAAGTAAGTCTAAAACACTGTATGTCAAGATTTTCAAACCCATCCTTGGATCACGCGGCACGGAATACTAGGAGAATCTTCATAAATTGCACCACCACTGTTCAAAGCCTATCCTGTGAATTTTGATCATATTGTAATCGATTCGCCTTGAGATAAAGAGCAAAAGTACGTTGAGCGTTTTTTCCTACATTGTTTCATTCTGAAGAAAATTATGATAGAAATACACATCAGTCGATTCAGTTTTTGATCCTGATTTCTGACTTTGCGTCTCAGATTTAGAAAAAATGAATTTTCTCCAGAATGAAACATAGGAAAAAACGCTCAACGTACTTTTGTTCAGCTACTTTGAGAGTTTTTTGTTATCAGCCTCGTTACATATCACTAAAGTAGACCATCATTGTTTTAAACAAAAACAAACATATATTTTTATGGTGTAGTAAAAAGATGAAATACTTTTGAGACCTGGTAGGGTCTCACACATTCTCAACAAATTAATAAATATATTTCTATGCCATATAATCATAAGAAAAAGCATGATCTTTATTCACGATTTTAGTTAATAGGATTTACTAATTCAACTCAAATAGAAAATTTTCTCTCATTAAAATATTTGTCGAGTCTCTGCTTTTCAGTTTTTGAAGTTCAGTGAGTGCGAATCATTTGAAATACCATTTGACAATGGATGTAGTACAGTGGAAGCAGTAATATGATTTGTGTGTATTCGTGTTGGACAATCTGTTACTTGTGGGTTGAATATTTGTTTTTGAAAGTATACATTAACAAAACAAAGAGCTTCTGATTGTTAGTATTATTTATGTAGAATCAGCTTGCTTGTTCTCGTATATTTTTATACTCTCAATTTTTCGTTCACCGTAGATAAAGAAAGTACAAACAAAATTAAAAGGGGGGAAGAGGATAAATGAAATTTATTTTCGTTTTTTCTCTCTACTAAGCCCCTGTATTTGTATTGAAGCCTTTAAGTTTATACTTAAAAAGAATTCTTTGAAATAGATTATATCAGATAAGAACGTTAGAATAGAACGACAGAAATCGAAAAAAAAAATTTACCTGATATCTATAGTTTGAAGTGCTGAGAATTTTTATCTTATTTCACGAAAAATATTTTTGTTTACGATTCCTCTTACTTGTTTCAAATATATAACCATTTCTTCAGATTACAACTTTGGCCTCGTTCACGTGCTGTAACAATGTCTACAACAGCGGATGTGTTTAAAACAACATCACTTTCTAGTGAAAATCCAATATTCTTATACGATGTTCCACTTTCATTACAAAAAATATCAAAAGCTGTAATATTTTTATTCAATTTATTTTTTCAACGAAAATTTATTGTTCATCGTCTAACTGGTCTACTCTATTTGATTCAATACGCATTAGCCTTCTATTTATATTTTAAAAATTATGAAATATTTAAAAATTCATTTTTAATTTGGTCACTACCATTAACGGGACTAATTCAGTCGATAACAGCCATATATACATTTACATTTTTATCAAAAACAAAAGTTGATCCAGGTTATTATTCTGATCGTGGTACACTGTCCTATCCATTTATTGTTGAAAACTCATTTTTTGCCAGTCTTCTATTATTCCAATGGCTTTATTATTCGAATCAATTTTACAATTTAATAAGTTATACGATAATTATTGAAAATGTAATAGTATTTATTCCGTATATACCAAGAATGTTATGGCCAAAAACACATTTTAGAGAATCGTTAAAAAATTCGGAAAAAAATAAAACAAAACCGAATCGAAAATTTTATTTTGTTGTCACATTCATAACAAAAATATTTTATATCTGGGCTAAACACTATATTGGCTATTTTTTGAATTATGTTCGATTTCTAGACCGTGCAACAGATAAACAAATATACTATATCTATTTATTATTAATATTCAGTGCATTTGCCACGACAATAGCGGTATTTCTTCATACATTAAAATTTAAAGGATATATTGGACCGAGAACATCATTCATTGTTTATATGATATCTTATTTAGCCACATTTTATTCATTTATACAAATACGTCATATATTCATTATCAATTTCGATTTAACTTTATATGTTCTAATTGGATTGCTACTGAACTTTACACGATTTCAACATCCCTATCAGATTAGCTTAATGATTTTATTTAACTTATTTAAATTCAATGTATTACCAGCAAATATAGCCCAGTATTTGTTTTTAACGAAGTGATAGTAGACTTTAAAAAGATTTCAGTACTTTTGTTTTGATGTACTAAGTTTTCATACTAATCACTAATCATATGTCATATAACATTTTATTAAATTCAAGCTCGTATATTAAATAAACGGCTAGTTGTTGACAATATCTGGGAATGTTTTGTGTGACTTCTAAGCACTGATAGGAGTAAAACAAAATGGAATTCATGGAAAGAGTAACTATGATATAACTTAGTTTTTTACCGCTCAGAAAAGCACTAATGAATCTCTTTTCTTGTATGAGTTAACTCATGGGGAAATTTTAGTAGGTACCGCGGTGTGTACACGCGTGAATATCGTGAAATGAATTGTGGTCGTACGTGAACATCGTAAAATGGTGTGTGAGCACGTATGAAAAATATATTCCACTTGTGGCAACGGGTGAACTGGTCACGAAAACGTTTCGCGTCATATTTTTTGCACGTGATCACAGGTGAAAGTCGGGAAGTGTGTAGTGGCCACATGTGAATTTTATCATGTTAAAATTTCCGTAAAAAAATATTACTACTAAAAATATCAAACTAACGAGGGAACTGCCCCAAGTGTCCGCTCGCGTTTTTGTTGAAATCTAGTGGAGAATAGGTTATCGACTATGCTGATTCCGAATATGACAATGGTTTTTGCTGCTAGGCCTTCGAAGACTTGGTTTTCTAGAAAATCAGTTTTTCAGAAACCCCCAGAAATAACCCGAACCTTTCTTAATGAGGCATGATTGTAGCCCGCACATTTCTGATTAAAATGAGACCTCTCCCAACTCTACATGACCTTTCTTTACAAGAATTTACAACAAAAGCCCTAAATGTTCATTGTCAGCTAAAAGCTACAGAAATAAGAAGAAATTAATTTAGGGCTCTTCGTGTAAATTCTATAACTTTGCAAAGAAAGGTCATGTAGAGTTGGGAG